AGCATTGCTTGGCAGTCTCATTTCAGTGAAGAAAAGGTTGAACACATTTACATTTCACACTCAGCAGAACCGATTTGAAGTTGTCTTATCATATATATAATTGATCACCTAGGTGACTGTTTACAAGCTTAAACCCAAATCCAAGCCTTTGAAGTGCTCTTGCATGAACTGTTTTCTAGTTCATAGTAGACTAAACAAGTAGAAAGATTTATTTCATCTTTGCTTCACTTACTTACTTATTCTTGACATATCAGCTTTCATAAATTTCATAAATATTTCCGTCTGGGACTTATTTTACTGAGAGGCATTATCTGTTGTTTATTGCCCCAGTAATGATCAGAGGAAAGACAACCTGGTCTCGGAGGATGCTGTATTCAACTGTAATTTTGGGGGGAGGAAGGGGGGAGGTTGTGAGTGATGTATTGGTTTCTATAAACTAATGACATGGAGTAAGAATGACTTCATCCACTCATCCCGCACTAAAGGGCAACACCCACTTGACTGGTGCACAGATGCTATTCTGTGATAGCACCTCACTGCATGACATACTGTACAGTATACTGTGGAGATGTGCAAATTCACTTCACCAGTAGAACTGAGGGGGAGCTTAAGGCACTGTATGATTGATTGAGAGAGACAGACATCCTTCAAACTTTGTGACCCTGACTTATTGATTATATTCAATAAATATTATGCACAATTATATTAGACTGTACATGTAAAACAGTATTGCTTCTATAGAAGCTCTTACATTCTTCTATCTTAATCCTAACTTCTCTTGCATATATACAGACTGAATGCATGTGTTCACATAAAGCATATAAAATATACCAATAATATTTCATGATGTTAAATATAATTAAATACATTATGCATATTGCTATAAGGATAGTTTTGTGCAACTGAGAATATTTAAGTAATCACTTACACCTGGGAAAGTTAGAATTTGGCACTTGAAATGAAAATGGCAGACAACTGGGACCGTTTTAGAATGCAGGAATATAAATTATAATATACAAATGGGCAACATCAATGTATAAGACTATCCTCTTACAAAATTAGATCAAATATCTGAAACATTAATAGTCATGTCAACTGCTGAAAAACATCAGAACAGAGCAATATGTTCTGTTCTATCATTGTTTTGGAAAACAGAAATATTGCATTCATATATTTATGCATTTATTTACTTTCAAGGAATGACCAATTACAACGCAATGTAATATAAGTTACTCAGGTCATCATAATATCTATTACTCTATTTACATACACAGCTCCAAGCCAAAAGGCAGACACTGAGGACAGCTGTGAAAATCTTTCACTATTAATAGCAGCACCTTCACATTGCAGTAGTTTTGGGAATCACAGCTCTTCCATGGACTGACCAATCATCGGACATTAACGCAATGGGGTTATCGTCAACACATACCTGAAAGCATTCAAGTAAACCGTCTTTCCAGGAAACCCTCATTGATATTTTTTTATGCCAGAAACAGATTGCACACCAAACATCTGAAAAACCAAGAACAGGAAGAACTCTTTATGCGAATAGTTGTTGCAGTATGGCAAAAGATAACCAGCCATGTTGTTAAGCAATCCATACTGCCAATCTCTACATGCTATTTGTAAGCACCTTGTGGCCAGAATAAGTCAGCCTCACATTTATACCTTGTGTCTTCACCACACGTGGTAGAAATCTGAATCCAGAGCATTTTTATTTGTTCCTTTAGCTTCAGATTATCTCCAAACTTGTCTTCTGTGATTTACTCAGGACCTTTGCTTGATGCCAGCATTCTGTTTTTCAAAAGCTTATTGCTTCTATCTAATGGAAACCCACTAAATTTCTGATTTCATCTCAGATTTAATCTATCATAAGATAGCAAGCTACCGAAGCTATTTAAGAGGCCTTGCTGCTCTGTTTTTCATAGGATGCACAAAGCTAACGGTAACCCAGTCCTACATAAATATGGATGCATACTGTAGCTCACAGCTGCAAAAGACCTCAACAAAAGGCTTTTGCAAATGTGAAATGACAGAAGTGGAATAGCATTTCTAACTTTCCTAAAATTCACAATAGTTCCTCAGGATCTTTTTTTCTGAATTGTATGTTTTTGAAGTAAGAAACTACTGTGGAAGGAATTGGAAATTGCTGTTCACCAACAGTCCCCATCCAACTTGAGGGAGCCAGAGCAATTTTTCAAAAAAGAATAGGCAAACATAGCAGTGGCAAGATGTGCAAAGCTGGTAGAGACTTATCTACAGTAAAATGACACATGGCTGTAATTTTGGCCAAAGCTGCCTCAACCAAATAACTGAATCAAGGGGGGTAAATAGTTATGCAATCAGTTATTTTCTGTTTTATAGTTATAATAAATTTAGGAGAATCTACTGTAGAGAAGAGAGTAGAGTAGTTTATTGCTATATGTAGATGTACATTGGAATTTTTAATCATGCTGATCTCCCAGGACATACACAGTACAATAGACAACACCTCACAATGGAGACAACAGGAACAATAAATATGTTGTAGAAAAAAAATCAAAAACAAAAATCTGTAGAGTTTTGTTTTGACTTTGACATTATAGAGTGTTTTGTGTCAATCAATGCCAAAATATCCCGCTTATATACATTAGGATTCCATATTGTTACACAATAAAATGTGAAAACGTAAGGGGATGAATACTTTTGATAGCCACTGTAGCTGTACAGAGGTTATTTGTTCTAGGTATCTGTTTAAAAACAATCTCAGGCAGTGGTAGCTTGGCACACTTCCAAATACAAATTAAATTCTAATGCAAGGAACGCTCATGATGTGACTAGAATTAACTGGCTTCATCTCACATAAACCCAACTCAATCTACCACCACCAACCGCAAACAATAGCTCTGTGTGAACCTAAAGACATGACACAGGTAAAGCCCTCAGGACACAGACATCATTGTATGCATTATCTGGCTATCACAACCCTGGGATCACCTACAGATAAAATCTGCTTAGTCTTAAACTGATGTAAACGTGCAGCTGGGTTTGTACTGTATAAATTCTAATTTAGTAATATGATAATAAGAGCACCAACACAGTAAAATAATGATACCGCAAAATGATTAAACATCCAATTTAACAAATGTTTGGTTTACATACCCACTGTAGTGCTGTTAACATAATAATCTTTTAAAAAAGAACATTCTTCTAAAAGAGAAACAAATTAAAATCCATCAAAATATTAAGAATTGTCTCTATAAAGTGGGGAAAACTGTATTTGTGAAAACCTAAAATATTTTATTTGTAGATTAATAAAAACGTATAACATATAACTAAAATATGGGGAACAGTTGCCTGTTTATGGGATCCGGATGTCAGGACAAAATTATGGCGCTACTGTTGTGAGATACAAGGTTGGCAATAGAATCAAGGTGCATAATATCAAAGTACTGTATTTACACTCCATTACAAGGTGTCTTCTGAGCAAAAATCTTACACCACACTGAAGAGTATATTCTCATTTCAATATTATTTTGACAAGCACCATAGTTGTGCATCAGTTGATACACACAATGATCAAATTTTATAATGACATTTAAACTGCATCAATAATAGGGAATACATTTTACACATCACATCACTTTCAATAACTGCATATCAAATTCAGGGTCACAGTGATCCCAAGCCTATCCCAGAAAGCATTGAGCGCAAGATGAAATATACCCTGGACAGGGCACCAGTCTCATCACAGGGCAGGAATAATTTTTCAATTCGAAAATTCATTCAGACTTAAAAACAACAGAGTTTTCATGACCAAATAATTAAGTCAGTTAAGATCATTAGTTAGCAATCACAGATGGAACAAATGTCCTCAAACCCTTGAGGTCCAGTAGCTCTAATGCCTTTACTTACTGTGGAGTAGGAGGGAAAGACAAAGACAGTTCTCAATTCACATTTCCAGCTTTTGGTATTCTGGTGCACTTTTTTGCATCATTATGTTGCTGGTTATGTTAATCACAAAAAGGAATACATTTACAGCTGAAACAATGAGTCGGTTTATATAAACTACGTTACACCAGGGTTTCCACATAATTCATGGTCCTATGATTTATGTTTTTAAACATCAAATTAATTATTGTAACATTGTAGCAACTTCTTAATTTTGTCGCAGAAATCGAATATTTACTAACACCTGCATTACACTCCAATATTACAAAGTGTTTCATTTTAGATGAACAATATCCAAAACACAGTTGGAAATAATATAAGATAGACACATTACACACGTAATAATTCTGGTGTATTGGACAGTAATACAGTAGGTGTTCGGTGCTGTTTTATATGCTAAATATAATCGTATTTTGAGGATGAAACACGCAGAATGTTTCCTCAGCAGAACAATATAAGACTATCGTGGAGGGTTAATATAGCATGATGTAGTAACTGTGAATACTTGTGCAGTGCGCTGTACTGTAATTCACTCCTTATCTAATTGTAAGGCTTTTGACTCTCAAAACTGCAATACTAATCGGACACTGCATTTACCCAGGTCTAAAGTACAATGAGTTTTAATTTACTAGACATTTACACAAAAAATAAAAGACTGACAAAATTTAATTTAAATATTTCTCTATGTCAAACAGAAGACCCAATTTTGAGGCTATTAATTTGACAATACAATGTGTTTTTTAGTTTACATATATTCCAATACAATTGTATTGTTTCGAAAAACACCGCAGATACAGCGTTGGAAAAGCAGAAAATAACCTGTTAATTGTAATCCTAGAATAAAGCACCTGAGAAAGCTCTTCCCTTCGCAGGGTTTGCAACAAAGAGCAGCACAAGGCTACAGAAATGGCTTGAAAACAGGTAGCAACAAAGTACCTTTCCACCCTAATTGGCCAGCACTGCAGCGAATCGCATCCCCTCATTTAAATTGTCACCAAGCGCCTCAGAAGCTGCAGCTGCACCGCCAGGCCGGAGAGCTTGGTGCTGCTCGTCATTTCCACCGTCCAGCCTCCGCCGATTGGCTGGAGCTCTGCAGTCAGCTGTGAGCGAGGAGACTATAAAGTTTCTGAGCTGGCCGCTGTTATTCTTAATCTTCATTCAGTGTGTCAGTCGGGGGGGTAGAAAAGGGGCTTGTTTGCGAGAACTGTGGATGTGTGTGCGTTGGGGTTATTTAATAGACCCTTGTCCTACTTGGTTTTATAAGGCTTAATTGAAAATCACAGAGGTAAGGGATCATGGCATGTTTTCTCAAGAAATTGCTATAGAATGGTTTGTAGGTTTTTCTGATGCGCCGTTGTTAGCAGTCGGATAGCCGAAAGAAGGTCTGGCTTGTAACAGATTTATTAAACTATGATTGTGCAGGTTCTGTATGATGTTTTGTCACTGGGCTTTCCTATGGTTCTTTAAATGGGGGGAAAAAAAACGTTGGTGAAATGTTTCTGCAACCTTCAGAAAGCATTGTTTTAACGATTGCATATTCTTGATCGTTCTTTTTTTTTAGCCATCTCTCTAGAAAGGTAACCTGCAGCTTGTCCGACGAGCTTGGAACAATGGTTGCCACTAGTACCTTGAAGAACAAAAACTCCGAATGCATTTCCGAGCTGTTGGATCGCAGATTTGATCAGGCGCGCATAGAAGATGGTGAGTAGAAGAAAATAGATAGGTAATCGGGTATCTTCAGCCTTAAAAAATGCAGCTTGTTTACTAGTGTCTTCGCTGCAGAGCAGCTCTGGTGCGGAGAAGAGGGGGGGAGTCGGTGAAGTCAGTGCCGATGAAGTCATTTTTCTGAACTTCATTCTCTTCTGGTCTCTTGCCTACAGTTATCACTAAGTGCGTTGGTACAGTAGGTTGCAATATCTGAACTGCATGACAGTTCATGCGGTTACACGGTCACTGAGTAAACCATTCTTTTAGGTATATGGAATATAACGTCTCGCTTCAGGAAGATTGATATGCTCTGTCCCCGTTGTTAGATTTGGGGTCGTCTTTTTAGCCGTTGGCTGCAGTAATTTCTGTTTGACGTTCAGATTAAGCTGGTCTCTTCACCTTCAACCTAGCGATTAAAAACATGTATTAGTTCTCTTTTTTTTGGTTGAGAGAAACGTCGAGTGATCAGAAATATGGACATTTAAAAATTAAGCTTTCTTTTTTAAAACAAAAACCAAGCAATAGTGTAAATGCAATTCCATTTTATCATGAGAATATGGGGGGGAAAAAAAACATTCCCACTTTAACTCTTAACGTCTCATTGTTGTTTAAAGCACTGTGAGTTTGCCTTGCTGGCTGTATAAAAAAAATCTCTGTAGCATAAAGGCTTTAGTCCTCATGAAGACTAAATTAATAAAATTGCCAAAGGCACCATGAAACTCTTAATTCTTTTTTTTTTATAGATCGTGGAAGGAGTTAACTGGTTGTGCCCAAGCTAAATGCTACTCTTCTGTAAATGTTTGGCAAAAATACATTGTAAAAGTTGACAGCATAACCCCTATACTGTTCAACCCCGAAAACAGCTGGAGGATCCTGCAAGATCTCAACACCTTTCCTGTGCTTTATTTTTGTAGAGCTGGATTACTGGGATAACTGTTTGGTGGAGCCTCATCTAAATGGGGAGGTTTTTGAAGACCAAACCTGCCAGCGGCTAGCCAAGATGTTGGAGAACTGCCTGTCCCAAGCCAAAAAGACCAAGCTGCACTGCTCGGAGGTGCTGGTCCCCGAGAAACTGACGAGGCGCATCGCCCGGGACGTGCTGCGCCTCTCCTCCGGTGAGCCTTGTGGGTTGCGGGGCTGCATCCTCTACGTCAACCTGGAAGTGGAGAACATGTGCAAGAAGCTGGATCGCATCATCTATGACGCCAGCGTGGTGCCCACCTTCGAGCTGACGCTGGTGTTCAAGCAGGATGGCAGCGCCTGGCCCAGCCTCAGGGACTTCTTCCTCATCGGCGCGTGTTTCACACCCGGGTTCAGGCACGCGCTGAAGCTCAGCCCTGGGTTCAGACTGATCAAGAAGAAACTGTACTCTTCATCGGCCGGAGCCGTTGTTGAAGAGTACTGAAACTTCAATGCACTTTTATACACTACAGAACCCAAACTGGCTTCTGTCTTTTTACTATGTGGCTCCTTAACATAGTGTTTTTTTTTAATTATAAATGAGACCAGGGGTAGTCACTTCAATATAGATGGGGCACTTCCAATTTCTCTCTAATGGTATTAGCACAACACATTTGCCAACAGCAGTCCATGTCTTGGGAGGTATTAGCACAAAAATGCTCATTCACATTCTCTTGTAGCAGGACCCCAGTTGGTGATTCTTGCAGGGATAATGCACAAAGTCCTTTTTGACTTGCAGGACTGTTGGGTATCTTATTTCTTTTTTTTTTGTTTGGTTTATGTAAACATGTTCAGCTAAACAGAACCACATGTTATTCAAAACTTTCCCTTATGGTATCTATGGTACACATTTATTTGGTACATGCTTATTGTTTAATGGTTTATTAATTTGACACTTTAAATGCACTAGTTCGGATATTCCAGCATTTATGGTTTATGGTCACTCCTTAAGCCAACTACTCTCTAGATTTAGAGGTCTAGGTTCTGCACGTTAAGATTTGGGGTCATATTTCCAATCCCACTACAGTTTAAAAAAAAACACCAACTTGGGTTAATACCTACCCATGAGTGGCTTTAAATGTGTCATAATCTTGGCTATTTATGAAGTAATTTTGTGCTGTAATGTAAGCCTTGGGGAAAATAATTATATTCCATACAGCACAGTAGTTTTAAGTGGCAACTTTTTTACACTTCAGATTTCTTCCCAATTTCTCGGTGCCTTTTTACACTGTAAAGAGTGGTAAATTCTTGTACTTTGGAATGTAGTTTTGTGCCCTTTACATGTACCCTTTCAATTTGTTTGCACTTAATGTATGTTTTATATTGAAGATCATTGCACTATGGGAGTTGATATTCATTGCTTTATTCCATTGAAGTGCATGCTGGAGTGGTCTGTAACCTGTACACTTCAATTTTTTTACATGTTCTGTCATACCTTTCTAAGGTGTTTATTGCTACGGTGCTGTTAATCAGCATTGTGGCTTTTTTAAAACTTAATTCCTGTTATAGGAAGTGGAGATACTTGTCTTTTTGACAATAAAATTTTTTAAGCCTTTTGTTTTTCCATCTTGATTTCTTATAGGACTGGGAATATAAGACTTCAGTGAAACTGAATGATTCCCCCACCCTCCTTTTGTATATAGAAATAAAATTATAAGTTTAGGGGAAAAGTCAGTACAGCTCCATGACCTGTCTCTAGAAGACTAATCCCATTCACTTATTTTGTAAATTGGATCATTCTTGGTCTCGTGTCCCTCTTTCAGAGAAAGAAAAGCACTTTAATATTGATGTGAATAATATTAATATAATAAAAGGCATATTAAAAGAAAGTTATTCTCATGAGGAATGAATGCTAATAACATAGCTGTAGTTCTATTCAAAATTAAATCATTGTGAAAACATCTGACTGGGCTGCATTAAAGTGATTTGATCTTAAGCGGTGGAATAGGTGTCTTGTAAGAGGGTCCTGGGGTAGGAAACGCTAACAGTCATGGGAGTTGGCCGAAGGTGCATCTACTGCTAACTTTATAAACTAAGTGAATATTATGGGGAAAACTTGTTTAATGTCATGATTTTGGAGTCTTGCTCCCTGCTGTTTTTGGTCCATTTCATTGTTTTGTCACTATTGTACCCTCTTCTGAATTTTAAGTACAAGTACTAAGTTTAAAACAAGATCTATAAAATGAAGGGGATGTTGCATACAGTATATTGCTCTTCTAGTATAAAACAAATCTTGCTAGATACTATACAACATTTCCTTGTAAAATATCACCCATGTTGCAAAACATATTTTCTTGTTCTGGGATTAGTCTAGAGAGTCTGGGTACGTTCCTGTACTCAGAATATCCATCCTGAGTGTTGGAAGTGAACCTTTCTGATTTTGAGCAGAGTAAACCAGACCCAGTTCAAAAT